TCCCTCGCGCTCTTCAACCTCCTGGAGCATCATACCGAGTCCAGAGCAAGCCTGGGGAAGGACCTGCCGTGAACAACTGGACAGAGACTCGATGTCCCTCTTTCGCTGTTTGCAGAAGCCTCTCCTGACCGAGTTCCGTCGCAGTTTCGCAGAGGACCATGCAGACTTCCTTCGACCATTGCTTCCTGTCATTGGTGCCTGGCGAGAGAAGTGCGCGGATTCAGATGGCAAGCTTCTGCTACTACTGCCAGGTGACCTTGATGCAGACGTTGCGTACGCAAACATGTGCATGATTGGAACACTTAGGCCGATCCAATCGTACCGAGCCTTCGAAATAGCAATCTCCGGCATTTCGTAGGGGTGACAGCATCCTATCATTTTTTATCAGCACACCAGCTCGCACTCCCAGGTACTTCGGTGTCTCACGATGCTTCCTTGTGGGAAACGATGGCAGCAGAGTTCTCTGCTTACCTCGTTAAGAAGGTGCTGAGGATTCGTCCGGAAGATGTTGAAATTTCCCGCCCGGCAGAAGAGCCTCAGATGGGTTCTGGAATATTGAGGCGTGCTCTTCAAGTGGTACAGGCCTAGATGAGGAAGGCATGAGGATGGGAAACTCACGCGTCAACCTGCCACAGTCTTAGGATGACGATGCGGCGGACGGCTTGCTCTCCTTGCTGCCGTTCCGATCCTTGATCCGTCGAGAGGAACGGACATGGACAGACTGACAGACTGGGAGTGTTCACTCTCGAGTTGTCCCCTGTTTCGGATGTTCGGTCTCCCGTTGCAGGCACCGTGCTACAGCGCCATGGCTGTGCTTCGTGGGGATGCCTTTGCTAAGGCATGGCGGCAGCATTTCCGATGCAATGTGCAGGCGCGAAAGAAATCGAATGGGATGGTGCTATAGCACATACATAGAGGTAGAACACACACAAATACACACACTAGGAAAATGGACATTGGCTACAACCACACGGACTGGTTGTACCCACACATAAATCTATACAAAACCTCTACTAATGGTTATTAATTGATTTCGGCTAGCCCTTTTTACAGGAAAACTAGCCACTATTATCATAATTACTTTTGTTGGGACATCGGTTGTCCCAGTACCTGTCCTGATTCTCTTCCAAATTCCCGTTCAAGCAGTTTTTACCTTAAAGTAATAGTTGACCTCCAAATACATGAATTCGAACTTATCCGAGCTATTTGCATTTTTTCACTTGAAGGCGGTCTCCCACTGTTCATGAAGCCAGTGACAATAATTATATTTCCTTTTTTAGCTAGATGAGGCCAGTCATTATGAAGAACCAATTGCGAAATGTGCATAGCTGTGTGTCAAGGACAAGTTTGAGAATCAGGAAAGATCAAAGGCTTATCAACTTTCCATTCAGTTACGCAGTTGGGCCCAGCTGTATGCATTGCAACAACAACAACAACAACACGAACGCACCATGGCCTTTAAGCTAAGACATATTCTGCTTTATCGCAGGTCATGATTCCAGTCGCTATAAACAAAGAATTCAATTGTTAAACAATTGCTACATGCACATAGCTGAATAGCTGGGTTATCATGAACCATCAAAGGCTCGTCAACTTTCAAGTCGAATTCATGATGGTGGCCATGGCTAGTTCGTTTTCGTAACTAGGGGCCTAGGTATATGACTGCAACAACCTAAAGAAAAGGCCGACGGCTTTTGAACAGTTGAGCGGGGAATATTTCGTTGCTAGAACCACAGGCGCAGGTTACAACCATGCATCTGCCCCTTTGTTATAATGCAGCCGAGGCGTGACAAATAGCACTTAGTTCAGGATCCAAGCAGTATGTAGTTATCGGATTTCTTTCATTAGTCTTGCTTGTCTGTGGTCTTCGGTGTTTGAAATTTGGTTTCAATGCGTATTAGTGTCCCCGAACAGGGCCAACACTAGGGGTTTGTACGTTCAGCGTAAAAGGGGCGTTAGATTGAGTTGCTTGCGCCCCGCGAGCGAGATGCGCACGAAACACACGCGAGATGCACAGACGGTATTCCTCGAGCGGTGGTCGATACTCGTACTTGTACCACAGTGCCCGTGCCGTCTCTGATGTCGTGGGGCCTCGAAACATCGCAAAGTACTGGACCTCCGTCCTCCAAACCCACCAGCGACGACCGACGACAGTGCAGCGTTTGGCGAACCCCGACGTCCAAATCGTGGTGAACCCTGAGGTCCAAGAGCAACGACAGTTACGAGGATGGCGAGGTCGATGTGCACGGCGCCTAGGCAGGAGAAAATTCCAACATCGCGAATTGCAAATCCCTTAAGTCTGGCCGCACGCAGCGAACCCTTCCAAACGCAGGATTCCAAGCACCTGGCACGTTTTCACGACACGGAGCAATGCAGGACTCCAAAATGGCAGCGGGACCTAGGCGGAGAGCACATTTTCCTCCCATAAACAGGCCAGGATGTCCACAGGTCCAGTGGCTCCAAAAGTCGACTTTTGTAGATGAAACGTAGGAGGACGTCTGGAACACCGGTGTGCTCCTGGTGTCTTGGTGTATGGTTGGAGGACCCTTGGAGTGCTCTTGCGTTTCCACTGGTCTCTCACTGGTTGGGGGTTCAGCATAAGACCGATATATATTCAATGTGCATACATATATATACATATACATGTATTGTATCCACACTTTTCAGCACGCAGCCACCGTCTTGCCACACTCAGAGTTAGTATGATCACTGGGCTCGCTAAACGGACTGCTTCTTGCTTCTCGGCTTGAGTATCCTTTCGCGGGCACCCGTCTGCAGGATGGACGCTTAGTTCGCCATTTCGCCACTCGGACAGGAACTTATTGTAGCATTGTAGTGTGTTCAATTGGTTTATCCTTTGAAGTGGTGCCTGTGTTGGTTCGAGGGCAGGCTTGGATGTGCTTGGATGTGCTTGGCTTGTTGCATCATGTTGCTACGTTCTTCATGTGGCGATGGCTTGGTTGGCTCCCGCTTTGCACTTTGTGCATCCGTCTCAGGTGAATGGTTTCATGCGTGACCACGGAGGAGCGTCTGCTCAGACTGTCGTCAGCGAGAAGGCGCAGGCAGGCCATTTCTTCAATGAGGCGACATCTTCCACACTTGCTACTTTCGTTGACGACCTCTGACCACCTCTGCACAGGTCTGCTACCACAGGCCGCCGCTTTCGAAGGACCTGGATACTTTGCGGCAGTGCCGATTGCAGGGCAAGGAGATCGATCTGAAGGTGCGGAAGACACCATGACGATCCATGATGTGTTTCAAGCGACAGCAAGGACGTCAACGAAGCATAACGAAGCTCCAAAAGTTTCTTTTGCATACAGTGCAGGCTGGGTAGAGCTTGCAGTGGTCACAGGTGCTGTCCCATTCTGCCACAGCAGCGGATGTCGCTCGCTGCACGGTGTTGCTGCATTGGCCGCGAGCTGGCGCTACACCGAGCGGTGCGGAGCGCCTTTGCCGGCACGTTGCGGATGTCGTGGCATAGGTAGGACGAAAGTTCCTCCATATCCAAGTCCTTTAGTACATGAAGCCGATACAAGTCTCTGTCCCCCTTCCCTCGAAGACTCATGGCACACCCCGTGCTTCACTCGTACAGATTAACTGGACATATTGAGTTACCATCCACGACCTTGCAAGGCTTTGGATCCAGCCCTCGGTGATTCTTGTGGAGGTCTTGGACAAGCGGCTTGGCAGGTCTTGGCTGGTGATTGTAACTGGATGATGCAGGCAAGGAGCAACCATGAGGCAGCCATCCGCGTACTCAGAAAACTTGGCGCTGCTGACCGGCGCAAGCCACTTCACCATCAGATTGGCGCAGGATCCGCACACTCTTCCAATGACCAGCAGTGGCACGGCATTAGCAAGTACATCTGCTGTGAGAGGAAGGCGACAAGCTGTTACGGTCAGCATCGCGCGCCATATACGTTGCTTGGCGCGACCGAGCAGATTTTCAGACTGTTCAATTGCTCTGTTGTGGGCTCGGAGTTTGCATGGATGGAGCTGAAGGGTGAGAGCACAAGCGTGGTGCTCGACTAGAAGACAAAAATACTTGGTCCCGAGCTTGTGGAGGAAACGCGGAAGATCGGAAGATACATGCTACAATCATTGCACGATGCAGAAAAATCTGCAAGGCAACGCTCACGCTTCTCCGATCACACGATAGCTCTATCAGCCCAAATAATTCCCCTCAACAACGCTCATAGATGATCGAAGCTCGACTAAGGGTTCTTGCCGCGCCAAGAGCTTGTAGTAAATGGTCTTTTCTCCACCTTCTTACATGCACTAGCATGGATGGTTCTTGGTGGGGGGGTGGGGGTGGGGGGGGAGCTTGAGTTTGTGAAATGTTGAAAATGATCTAAGGCCTTGAATCACCGGGCGCCAACCGACGGAATGTCGTTGGATGAAATTGCGGATGCATCAGAACTGGAAGGTGCGCGACCGATTTGGACCGACTGCCTGGCGTTTGCATGGTTCTGGTCAAAGTTTTGAGTGTGAGTGAAGCAGGTTGTGAGGAATTCTATCATCCTGTTGATGGCTGGACAGACGGCTGGAGAGACGTTGCCAAGAATCTGAAATCAGCACAGTGGCTTCTCTGCAAATACTTTGCTGTGCAGGGGTCATCACACAGTCCGTGGCGTTGTGTTCAAGCGATGAGTGCCCAGGACCTGATGCAGACAGCTCAAATCAGCACACTCTAGACGGGGCTATTTTCAAACTGCCCTCGTCTTGTCTCGAAGCTGGAGCTGGTTTCAAGCTTCCAGAGAGCTTCACAAGTCAACCTGTGCTGAGCTATGCTGAGCTGATCTGAGCTGCATTTCGAGAGCCGAATCGCCGAAATGCCTTTGCAATCCTTTGCATCTTTATACAGTTCCGCTGTTCTGCGCCTGGGTCCAAGCCCTCAGCAAAACAGTGCAACTGCTTGCATGCAATGCAGCTTTTGTTGATTTTGCTGCGGCATTCGGCAGGACGATGCGTCCATGTCCCATGCGATCCCAACATGTCAGGCTGGAAACACGATGTTTGCGAGTCCTGCGGTTGCTACTGCGATGCAGGCGGGATGCATAAAGGTGCGTCTGCTGAGAGTAGATGAGCTCCCGGTCCTTTGTGTTTGTAGGCGACGATTGGAGCCAAAGGCAGGCAGCGGTAACCAGAGTGGCATATGGCCACACATTGCTTGGCTGTGACTTGCGACTTTTTGCAGATGGTTGTGGCTGAGTTGTTTGGCCGACGGAGGAGCTTCAACAAAAGCCAATGCCCAAGCAGAGCAAGCGGCTGTCAGAGCTCGGAGCCGAAAGGGGGCAATGTTGCATCAATGTCGCATACAGCATTTTGTTGAATGTTGCATACAAATTGTGCTTTTGGACTCTTCTGCGTGCGCATAGTCTTCGCACGCAGCCGCTTAGATTTTCTATCTGAGGCTGGGCGGAGAGCCTTCGCAACCCTGCGGGTTGGCACTACTTTGACTTCGGCACAGAACCGTACCGCTGCCATTCATTCATATCCTTCTCTCTGCGGGACAGTGGGGTGACTGCTTTGATGTTGAACGTGTTTTTTTGGTTTGTGCAGCGGCGCAATCTTCAGAGCCAGTTCTTTTCCCGAAGTTACAAATCTTCTTTGTCGACCCCTCTTAGTTACTGTGCCATATTATGGACCACAGACTACGACCGCGCCTAATGTGGAAATGGCACGAACAAAGTATTCTTCAGCTTTTCGAGCGCAGCGAGAGCTTTCGGCCTCGAAACGCGCTCGAGGCGATGCACAATAAATGTGGTCTTGCATTCGGAGAAAGCTATTTGAAACGGATAAAGTTCTAAAGCTGCCTTTGCAGTAGAATGTGTACAAGCGGATTAAGTAAATTCAAAGCAAGAATGAAAAGGGAGCTCAAGCAAGTTGAAAGACTACAGACAGCAAAGTTGCGTTTCAATCTTGTAGCTTGTCTGACTCCAGAGGCTTTGAAGCATAATTCGCGAGGCGGGGGAAGGCTTGCTGGTCATGGAATTGTAAAGCAGGATTTTGCAAGTTGATGGCGAAAACATGAAGTTTCAGTCAGTCGCTTGAAGATGGCGAATGACACATGTTTATGCAAATGGAACGTTTTAGTTTTTTGACTGATGACATTAGATTGGCTTTCGAACATCATTCGAGCAAGGGGGATGGAACGTGTAAAGCCAGATGGCAAGGGAACTTAGACAACAAAGAAATTCGAGCTTACGTAAGCTTAAAAAGTGCCAACAACAGAACTTTAGGTAGCTTGAACTTGTAATCTTGTAGGGCGTCGCCTCACAGGAGGTCGCTGCCAGCGCCCTTCCCTCATCCCCCGCCGAGGAGCCGGCAGGCGTAGAAGATGCAACCGAAGACGAAAACACAGCTAGGAGGCTACGAAAGCAAAGCTCAGAGGTGGAAGCGTGCAAAAATTGTGTTTCACGACGGCGCGAGGAATTGCTTCCAAACTCATGTCTGATTTGACCCCTTTTCAAAACATGCTTGCAAATGAGGGGGCGGGTTGCGGTTGCACCCCCGCCGCCTTTTCTTTTAACGCCGTGACCGTGAGGTTTTCACATTAAAGCCAGGAGCAAAATTTCTTGCGGTCGTATTCATATGACGAACTACAGGCAAATTAGAGAGCAAACAGACGGTTTTGTGTGATATTCGTGTTTCGTTTGAGAATAGCAAAGCGGCACGGCTCGCGCAAACACCGAAACGGCCGACGCAAAACCAGGAACAAGAAGTTTTACTTGTTTTCGTGTCTGGACATGCCACATGATGCCTGGCACGAGCTATCCGTCATGCGTTTATCGATGTTCAAGCTTCCCACCCTCCTCACTGCCAACTTGTCGTGCAAAGAACGATCATGGCGAGCTTTGTCAACTGGCTTGGGGCTTGGATGTGCGCAGCTGAGTGCTTCACAAGATTGACATCTTGCCATGAAAAAGAGTTGGTGTTAAGTGAGTGCATAAAGGAAGGCATTTCGCATCCTTTGTCGTTGCGAGTACGCTCGAATTGTGCGTGTGAGTCTGTATACCATCCGTCCTCCGTGCTACTGGCGATAGACAAGGTTCAGAGCGGACTTTCCGAACGTTATTGTCCACACTGACTGAGCCATCTACCGATGCGCCGGCCCAGTATGGCCCAGTGCAGCATTGAGGATGACACATTGGTCAAGCTCCTCCATCCTGGCCAAGCAGCGGCCAACCCTGAGTAAATTCTTCAGATTTTTTTTACAATGTGGCGACAACCCTCACACCTGGAAAGGTGAGCCCAACTTGGAGATTCGGAGAATCAGTGTGCCTGCATCACATTGAAAATGTCTTCGCGACTGCGAGCGTTTGTTGTCAAGTTTTATACTCACCTCTATTGTAGCTTTCGGATTCTACGCCCCCTTTCGCCCTAGAAGCCATGCTGGACCATTTCTTCTCCTCTCAAGAAACAGTTGTGTCCCGAAGCTTCTCCATATGTGCCATGTCTAGTTAGCTACATGCATCCGCCACGTGCATCCGCCAGAGCTCATTCACAGATCATCGGCATGGCTCCACAGAATGCCAGCAGCGGTTTGATTGCTCTGCGTGGATGTCATCAGACCTCCTGGGCACTTCAAGACCTTCCCTGTGCTCAAGTGCACTAAGAGCTTCTCACACGACCTTAACCACCTGGCTACGAAAGCCTAGAACACAACTAAACGACAGCAAGATGTTCCACATGGAAGCCTTTTGTGACGGCCAGGCATCTGCCACTGCGTCCTGTCGGACGGTGGAAATCACCATCATCCACTGAAGAGCTGGTTGATTGCAGGAGGTCAGAGGATGCGGAAGTGCTGACTTCGAAGCCTGGCAGCCAGCTTGGGTCCAAAGTGACGCCAGCTCCTGGCATGTTCAGTGCGCCAGGAGAAGCTTCCCGAAACATGCTTGCTTGAGTGGCTGGGAGGGCTCACATGCTGCATAGAGCTACGAGCTGCCAATGTGAGGTGTTGTGCATTCCTTCCGAGCTGAGTGTCACTGCTGCCAGGAAGTAAACAACACAGGTACTGCATAAGTATGCTAAACATTGCTAAACAACATCACGCAACATCACACAACATCACGCAACGTCACACAACATCACGCAACATCGCGCAACACCACACCAGACTTTGACTCGGCACCTGTGCCATTCTCAAAGTCTTACAAACTCGATGCCTTCAGCCAACGCACAACATCTGCAAGGAACCCTAGGCTTCGATCATACCCTAGTTGACCCATATTACCAACTCCTGAAGTTCTGTGGGTTTTCAGAAGCTTGCAATACCGACTGCCTGGGGCTCGTCTCCAGGCACAGCTGCGATTTCATCATCGTTGTTTGTCTTTCCAGACGTCCATGATAAGTGTGGTGAACGTGCTTGTTCCAAGTAGTTGAGAACTGCTTTGAGAACATGTCTTTGTTGCAGATGCCTGCAGCTTACCAGCACCCGGCGCCGCAGTATCCGCGTCTGCCGGGGTCTCGGGAAGGATAGAGCCTTGCGTTTGACGCATGGCACGTGTCGAACGTAGCTGCATAGCAGTGTGCATAGCTGCGCGACAGTTTGCGCAATGCATATCATAGCCATGGCAGTAGCACCGTAGCATGGCACGCCTCAAAGGCAACATTGGGAGTGTGGCTCTATTCTCTGAACAGTTGCACAGACCAGAGGTCGGCCGAGGAGGCCGCAAGTCGTGCGGAAGATCACGGACGGAAAGTGCACGAGCGGCATTCTCGGCTTCCTGATGCTTCCTGCTTGGCGTAACGCAATGTAACGCAGTGCACAAGCACTGCAAAAGCACTGCAAAAGCACTGCAAAACACTGCATGGCCATGCGTAGCAAGATAGCAATAGCAACCGCACCATGCAACGATATGCAATTGCGCACATGCGCTCCCCAAGACTGCTCGCGGATGATTTGCGTCGGTATTTTTAGATTCCGTAAAACTATTTGGGGGGTGGGAAAAGGGGTGGGGGGAGGCCTGGGTCTACTGGAAGCAAGAATGCAGTCTGAGGTTGCGCTGGCTTTACCTGGATAGTGTCGGTCAGGACATTGTAAGTTTGCATGTGGGCTGAGCACAGGCTTGGTTTGGCTCTCTCGCTCATGTTTCTTTTGTGTTCGTGGCAGTTCGTGCATGCAAATCTGGAAGCGAGGAGTTTGGACCTCTCCCAGCTGATACAATGCAAGAGGCCGTTTCTTGAAAGTTCAAGGGCACCTCATCCGACATGTGTAGCCTGCGCAGTGGCTGACGATGGGCCGCTTTCCCGTGGGGCTGGACCTTCGTGTTCGATTGCCCGAGCTCCCTCCTTAGAATGCCGGCCGCAAAGCAGCGATCAGTTATCCGTGGGATTTCTGCAGCTCAGACATCTAGAAGTGTGCCAGTGCGTATGGCAGCCAAAGAGGCTCAAGACATGTCGCAGTGTGAAATCCAAGTCGCGCCGTTGTGGGCGCCAGGCCTCCATGCACGTTTGTCGTAAACGCCGTCTCCTCGCAGCGTGTGCAGGGGGCTCCGCAGTGATCCGCAGTGGACTCTGCGGTCCTCCGTAGGGCTGTGATGACTTGTGCAAACGAAGCATGTGCATGCGTCCTCTTGCAAACGTTTGCAAACTTCAAACTGTTGCCTGCCAACATCCCATGTCCTCGTGTGTTTTCACATTCCATGTGCAGGAAAGAATGCATGTAGCGCTGTGTGCGCTGGCGATTGTTTGTGACGCTGCGCGCGATCCATCTGAGCAGTGCGTGGCTAAGTCAGGAGAAGGCACTAGGTCCAAGGATACTGAAAGTTTGGACAGTTAAGGAGCCTTCGAGAAGATCCGTGGGCTTTCCTGGAGACAGGCATGGATGTTGCCGCGCGAAATGTTTGTGCTAAATGGCCGATCTACCTGGCCAGATGTCTTGTGATTGCTGGAGGCCATTCCTTTTGGGGACGTGCTCTGAGTCTGGATGCGGAGAAGGTGCAGCTATGACCTATGGACATACATGGATATGTAAGTTGACAGTGTAAAGATCTGTAGAGTGCTGAAGCCCGATGCCTTGCATGCCACGTTTGCTCATATGCTCACGTCTTGAGGCGGAGCGTGAAAAGAGTCGGAAGACCCGTCGGAAGAGTCTTTGTTACAAGTACAGTTGTCGTCGTGTTCGGAGGAGTGTGAGCCGTGCAGTTTTGCGGGAAGAGAGCTTCCGAGGACTGCGGAGCTTCGGAATTTGGTGACTGACCCCCCCAGTGCAGAGGACCAGGGGTTACGAAGGCCAACAACACATTGACATGCGTATCATGCTGCGCTTGCTAAACTGAGCCTGTTAAGAAGGCCCACGCTCTGTTCTTCAGCCGAGCGTCAGAGGACGGCTCGGACGGCAACGGCCTTGACGAAGATGAAGAGGAGGACTGGCAGATTGTTTTTGGCAGATTGTTTTTATCACTGAGTTCCTCCTTTTCCTTCGTCTGGGAGGACGTCGAGAAGCGGTACCAGGCGCATGCCGCAGCCAAATGCAGCCAATAATCCAAGATGTCGGCTGTCGAAGTGGCAGGCAATCGGAGTTACACTGGTGTGACCTCACGTCGCAGGATCTGCCTGACCTGAGCGAGGAGACCTTCAACAAGTACAATGTCGGCTGGCCGCACTTCATGCAGGTCTTTTGTAACTTTAGTGCCCATGCATACCGGCCTTTGTGCAGGAACTTGCCGCAGAGAATGGGCCTGTTTCTGAAGCTATTACTGGAGCGGAAGCGGCAGCTGTCACTGCAACCAAGTTGCATATCATTCCATACTTCTAGGCCGGCCATGCCCGCCCCAATTCGGGCAGTCTTCTCCGTGAGGTGAAAGAGTCAGCGGTGGTGTGGAAGATGACCGAGGAGGTGCACTACTAAGCTAAGCTGCCATTTGTGCATCATTTGTGCTATTGTGTGTTGCTGTAGCATTTTTGCAGATGCGATTTCTGGCAAGGGCCTTCAGAAAGCAGCGGAAAATGTCAGTGAAGCAACCAAGAAGTCCGAAGAAGAGCGGCGCTCGGGCCAACACCCGCATTTCCATGTCGCGTGTACATTGTGTACAGTGTGTACATTGTGTACATTGTGTACAGTGTGTACAGTGTGTACAGTGTGTAGACTTGCCCACTTGCCGAGGACGTGCAGCGGGGAGACCGCATCTTGTATGACATGAAGGTGCCCGTCACCCGATGGTACTTGGAGGTTCATGGTACTTATTAACCAATTTTAACTGTACGTATCACTGTACTTATGACTATGTGTGGGCACTTACGGGGCGTTTAAGTCGGTTAGAGGTACAGTTATAACTGGTTAACAATTATCGTGAATCTCCAAGTTGAAAGCAGTCAGAACAGTCGGAAGAGTGTGAAGAGTCGGCTTGCCGCAGTCATGATGCATCATGATATCGTCAGTGTGCACGGTGCTCGGAGGCAAAGCCTGGAAGAGAAGTCAAAAAGGAGGTGGAGGAAGCACAAATTCAGAGAGTTGCCCAAGCGTGGAAAGTCTTATGAAGTGTGCTGAAGCGGGCAGGACAATTTGGCGCAAATGCAGGAAAAAGTTGGCGATGTGCAGCCTGGCTACAAGATGCTACAAGTAGCGAGTTCTCAGAGTGTTGGGTGGCTTTGGGTGGATGGTTCAGTATCCCCGTGTGAAAAAGGTCATCAACGACTGACAAGGCTGAAGATGGCTGAAGGTTGGATGAGGGTCGCGCTATGTGGGTGTGTGGATGTGTGTGTCGTGTGCAGTCCTGTGCGTCGTGTGTGATGCTGTCCGGAAGTGGCCTCTGCTGTAGCTTTGCCATGCGCAGGCCACTCGTGAGCCACAGCATTGGAGAAGCTGGTGCTACCGCGGAAAATGGCTGGCTGCTGCTACTTCTTACACTGCACGGCTACACTTGACTGCTGCAAAACAGCTGTCAAACATGTGCATGAGCGCGCTAAGAACTCTCTTCGTCTTCGCGTGTCAGAGGTGGGACCAGCACCTCCCGTTGCGCAAGCTTCAGCCACAGTTTTTGCGAGCCGGAGAGCTGCTTGCAGCTCGATCCGGCTCGTTTGTTTGTCGAAGGGGATGGTAGGGGACGACAGGGAACAATGAGATTGGCGTACGGGTCTGGACATGTCTGTTACGTTCCTGTACTTTCCATGAACTGAGGATATACCCGGATCTTTCAGCAGCCTTTCGACTGCCCCCAGCCTGGCCGCAGGCACTGCGATCGCTTGCCATAACTTTCTTCATTTTCCCACGTTGGTGCTTGAAGACTTGATAGGGTTCTTGTCACGAAAGGCCTTGGGAGCTTGCGATCGTTTTTGTTTACCATGTCTCTTCTTGGGTTAATGGGGGTACGATTACTGTTGTCAATTCCAGAGTCCTGCTTTCTCCCGCCCAAAACGACTTCCCCCTTTGTTGGAGACAGCAGGTACCCTTGCAAGCTCTTCACTCCCCGGCCCTCCTGTCCACTAGATTCGATTTCGTTGTCCTGGTCTCAAGTCATGACCTGGTGGACCGCACATTCAGAACCCTGCGCGAAAAGACCAAAAATAGAGAGAGAGAGAGAGAGATAGACCCCAGACTGACACAAGAACCGCTTGGCCGTCGCGGCCTGGGCGCCTCCCCAAGGGGGCCCTCCTAAGCGTGGAGAAGAAGAAGAAGAAGAAGAAGAAGAAGAATAGATAGACAGATAGATGGGTAGGTACTTCGCAGCGACGCGTGAGTGCCTAGAAGTAATGAATATGCGCGATGCGGCTCTTGATGCTGACGTTTGCGTGATGTCAACGAAGCGAGCACACGGTTAACTCCCAGGGAGGCGCTGAAAGTGCTACAGAGACGGACAGATGCAGGCAGTCGAATTCCGCGCCTGCAAAGACTGAATAGCATCACCCCTCGGCCGGGTCGCGGCCACTGTGGCCACCGCAGTCGTGACATGTCGTTGCCGAGCATCTCGAGTCCAAGGCCGAAGGCAGTGTGTTCTGATTGTCTCGGCCTCGAGTAATGTGTCCAACACAGAAGACTTGCCTGCAGAGACACTTGGCACCCGATAGCCAGTGCACGGGTCCACGGATATCTGAACGGCGTCGGACACGTCACACGATCGGATGGCCAGCAGTGATTACGAACTCGACGTGGGAAAGCATGCAGCGTCCATGCAGCAGCAAAACGGATGCCCGGTGATGAACATCAACGTGTTCAGTCATGTTCCAACGTTTCAGTTTGACCTCAGTTAATGACAGCTTGGTGAAGCGCACTGGAGGTTTGCCAAGATGGCAAGTCCATGGGCTTTGGCAGTCCAGAAGTGGAGGCCAGCTGGTCATGAAGATGCAGCAGTCATGCAGCGTGTATTGGATGATGGTTTTCTGCGCATGGCAGGAGCTTCGGACATCTATACGTCTTGATCTAAGCGTTCCTGGCTTCCCGCGCCTTGTGATGTTGCTCGCGTCGGTCTGCGCTCTCCGAAAGAGACACCAACGCCATACCCTGTTTCCGGGGCATGCGTTTCAACAAGCTGCAAGGTGAGTCTGGACGCCTGAGTGTCGAACTTAGTGCGTTTTTCAAGCCACGTGAAGGAGTTGGGCGATGTCGCTTGCAGTCACTCTGCGCTTTCTGACTGGCAGGTGGGCCATTTCACAATTGTGTGTCAAGCAGGTGGGTGCAGGGTGACATCAGTGTGACGTAAGTTCGGCAGTTCACATGCTGTTTTTAGAGTCCTTCTGGCTGCCAAAGTTATCGCATGCTAACACTGAATTCAAGCCCCGTCTTTATGACTGACAAACCTCGCAAGAAGGGAAGCTTTTTTGTCTGAGTCTGAGCCGTGTTTGTGCCCTTTCGGCAAGCACTACGGCACTGTGCTGTGCTGTACAAGCGACACTGAACACAACACAACCATTGTTTGGTTGCAGCTCCTCGGCGGTGCAAAGTGCACCAGCTGTGCCAGGCTCAGTGTGTGATTTGAACACCTGCTGTGCAGTGTTCGGTATTGTTGAGCTGCAGATAGAACTGCAAGCCTTTCGTGCGAGCAGCTTGGAATGTGGCAGTGTCGGGAGTCTGAAGTTGGCAATGCAGCCAGGATCATCGCATGGGGGTGAGGTGTGGGTGTAGGCTGGCGCTGGAGTCATCTGAAATTGGGTAGGAGGGACGGTGGGGGTGGCGAGAGCGGCAAAGACGAGTGAGAGCGCTGGGAGGTTCTGGCCTTTTTTGAAGAATTTCTGATTAATTTTTTGCCATGATACTGCACATCACGGCCATAGATTCCTGTATTGAATTGCTCTCACTTGTGCCAAGCAAAGTGGTCAACACAGCTACGAATCACAATATTCGCCCTGTGACCCCCCTTCGAAGGCCAGACGTTTGTCGGGAGCACTATGTTCTTTGTGTCGGGGCCGAGGCTATCCCGTCCGTCGCCAGCTCCTCCGTTTCCTTTGCCCCTTCTGCCGGGACCTTACTAGACGATGTCTGTGTGATGGATGATGGGACGCTGGAAATTCTAGGCCGAGGCGGTTAGCGGTGCTGCGGGTGCAAAGGCTTGGCAGCTAGACCGCGTGTGCTTCTCATGCCCGGTGATGCTGCAAGGTGTGTATGCGTGTGTAGGTGTGTGTGTGTGTGTGTGTGTGTGTGTCGCTTATTCAAGTTGAGTTTAAGTTTGTTGAATATCACGAAAGCTAGCTCCTTGGAGCTCGCGAGAGTTGTCGTTTACAAGAATTCTCTCCAGTGTTCAGCTGGGTCAACAAGCGACCCCGACCCTTAAGTGGTATGAAAATCAAAGGGATAAAGGGCTGTGGAGGGGGGGGGGTGGGGGCCCCCCCCTCCCCCCCTTAAAGGATGACAGAATCAATCTTAAGGTGTCCCCCCTCCCCCCCCCCCCTTTCAGGGTCGCCTTAATTGATTTCTGGGGAGGGGGGGGGGGGCCCCCCCCCCCCTTTTTCCCCCCCCCCCCCCCTCCCCCTTTTCAGGCCCTGCTGTCGACCTGTACTGCGCCCGCACTTCTCCTGCCTGACTCAAAAAAAGCTTGTCAGCCGCGCTTCTAGCTTTCGTGGCCCCGATCTCAAGTCTGTACATAATATAGACTATATATATACATATATATATATATATGCATATATATATATATGTATATGCATATATATATATATAGACGACGTACTGCGATGTCGGTATTCGGGTATACGCAATCTGGGAAATCGGTGTTTCTCGCATTTAGTTGTCAAAGTCTCTGATCGCCTTGTGCTTCTCAAGTCCCTCGCTGACACTGCAAGGAGATTGTCAGTACTTGTACTTGGTTGAACATTGCCGGCATGGCTGTGAATGTAATGCCTCTGGCTTTGTTCCAGGTGAGCCGGCCGGAGAGAAACAAGATCCCGACAGCTGAGCAAGCGAGGCTGGCTACGGGAAGCCTTGGCGGTGCCATGCCATTTTCTTTGCTTATGTGAAGGAGCCTCCGATTAGTTGTGCAAGGACCCTTGCCGTGTTTTGTCTCCACATGCTAGCTTCTGTCACCACTGTTCGAGAGTTTTTCTTTCAAGGTTTCGGGTTCCCGAAGGCTTCATAGCCTCGACTTGTCCCCAACTTCTCCCAAACTCATCCTTGAAAGCCACTGAGACTCAAGAGCTCGGTTGCCATGAAAGTTTCACAAAGGCTTGGGACTGAGGCAGAGGACAGCAAGCCAATGAGGACAGAAAGCCTTAGCTTGTCACAGCTTTTCTCGGTTGGCAGGGATCCGGCGAATATGAAGCTCCCGTCCTTGCCCAAGCTGTTGATACGGCGCATACTTTGTTTAGTGCACCAAGTCATTTACTGCAGACTTCGATTTCAATGAGGGTGCTTGTTTGCCTGATTTGCCTCTGAGTTACTTGCAATCATGCACAGTACATGTGATCTCTTTCCTTGTCAGGGACCCGCTGCCAGCACCACTGCGCGAGTCAATCATTATTGACAGGCCGCGGGAGTTCACGCTTGGTGACACCTCACAAAACCACTCCAACATACTCCGAAAACCTTAGCGGAATCTGGTGCGGACTTTTGCTAAGTAAGTTCTCTGCTGCGCCCAGGGATGAACTACCACCACTTCCGAAGGCCCAGTCGGTGCTGGAAAGGCCACGCTCGCACTTTAAGTCGATCATCAGGCTCGTGTCATCACATGTTCTGAATTGTTGCGATTGTTTTGGAGCATGGTGCAGGTATGCCAGGTATGCATCAATTTTCTGACCGCGTTTGACAGTCGTCGAGCAGACAAACGACTTTGTCTTTCACAGTGTCTCAGTGCCAGGCTGCTGCAACCGGAGAAGCAAGAGGCTGCTGGGACTCAGAGTTTAGAGTTGGGGTTTTTCCGTCTTGAGTCCAGAGTCCAGAGCGTGCCTTGTGATTCCCAAATCCGAACCCTAAACGCTGAACCCATTGGTATGTCCACATTGAAGCCAGATTGTCCCGCTCAATGCTAGACGGAGATGCCTTGATACATTGTTGGCTGGCAACCTGCCACGCGCAGTTGCGGCTGGCTTGCCAGATGAACGGCCAGACGAAGGACACCGGCAGACTTTTCCTTGAAAAGGCGACTTTGGACTTGACAGGTTTGATTCCCTGCACCTCCATGCACCTCCCACCTGTGGCAACTTCTTTCTTATGAGAGATGGTCTGCACTACTTTCAGCATGTGATTTTGCTCCAGGTTGCCAGAGGCACGTCTCACAAGGTCAATGGAACCAATGGGACCCACGGGACCAATGGGACCAATGGCAAGGTGGAGGCAGGGCACAAGAAAGTGTTGCTTATACATGCCACGAAAGTTAGCACTTGTTGCTTTTGTTTTGCCAGCTCTCACGCTCTTTCTCCTCGTCCGTCCCCTCCCTCCCCCCCCCTCCCCCCCTCCCCCCTCCCCCTCTCCCCCTACCCCCACAGGCACACACCTTCCCCATACCTCTGTCTCCGTCCTCCCTCCTTGCCTTCCTCCTCCTCCCTCCCGTCCCCGTCCCGCACAGCACCAAACAAGTAGTGCGTCGATCCCTCCCTAACAGCCGGTAACACTCTGGTCGGTGCTGATTCAGTCTTCGTCATCCATTGTGATCCATTGTGATGAGATGCCAAAGGCCTTGCAAAGCAGATTGGAACCCCATTGTGGCTTGTAAGATCAGGGTAGCATGTTTTCTTTTTCAATGGTGGTGGCATCTTGTGGCAGCCTCCCTGAAGGCCGACCGGCTTGCCCAGACCAACGGAAATGGAACAGTCGTTGCACTGCTTCAGGAGTAGATGTTCCGTGGGCAATCGGCAGACGGTTCTCGGCACAGCAGGTTCGATTGGTTGGTTGTTTGGAGGTGACCTTTAGTTGGGAGATGTTGGACTTGATAATCGTACGCAGTGCTCGACCTGCCTGACGAACTGCTTCGTTCCAGAACCTTGTCCATGAGAAAAGGTACACATCATGAGGCTGGATGAAGCCCTGCATGCAATCGAGATGCTCAGAAGAGGGGGAGATCCCCTCCTCATGGCGTGTATCAAACATAGAGGCGAACTCCTCTTATCGCGCTGCTGTGATGAACGGCGGGTGTCACCAGAAGCCATGAGGTGCTTTGCAAGCAACAGGCCTGTTTGAGCTGCGCCTTTGTTCCCTCAGAACATGATTTAGCAAGTGTTGCGTCTGATACTTCCTTCGTGATTGCAATGTGCAAGCGTTTCTGCATAGATATGCATTCTGGGCATGCACTTGTTTGGATATGTGTACTGACCTGTGCAAATCAGGCCTGGCCATGTGAATCCAACATGGCAAGTCAAAAGAGGTCGCTCATTTGGCGACTTCAGACTGTTATGACTGTTGCAGATGCAGCACTCTTTTCCCACCGTGCTCGTGATGTCCAGTGCAGGTAAGACCACTCGCAGTGAGCTTGCTCTTGCCAATTGCTGGATACAATCACTGTCGGTGCCAAGGCAGTCATGCATAACTCAGTTGCCGTCTCCAAGTACTACATCAGTTTGTTGGTAAAATCTCAGCGGGCAAGCGTGTGGTACAGGAGCAAGCCCAAGAATTCTTTGGTTGCGCAGTTCCGTTTCTGTATGTTTCTGTGCCAGCAGCGACCACGGCATCGCCTCCTCAGGGCAGCAGGCTTCTGATAAAGCTCATGCCACGTACGCCTTAGATGATTTAGATTCCTCAAATGCTAAGAGTACAATGTCACAACGTTCTCGGTATCCGAACTGGTAGAGGGTGCGTCAGTGAGGTGGTTCTGGAATGATTCTTGAGCGTGGTACGTTGAAATTGCAGTCAATGCCGAGCAGGTTGTGGCCCACAAAAAGGAGCAGAACCGCATCTATGTGATTTGATGGAGCATGATGGAACTTCGTTGCAAGAAATTCTTTCAGGCGCTCTGGCACAACACGATTAGGGTTCAACTGGCATGGAGAAACCGACACTTATCACAAGAGATCGGAAAAGTTTGCAAGGTGTAGTCAGTTTTGTTTCCCCCCCTAGTTGATTGGGGTGGGCTGGCCCTTGAGTTCTCTTGCAAATTCCTTTGAAGTTGCAAAAGGAGCAGGGAGGAAGAGCAAACACCATGTTTTGGTGGATGTGTGGTTCTAGGCAGGACACGTCCAGTGGGGCACGCTGAGTGCGCATCCTCGCGCGAATGCGGCAGCTGAAGCGGAACTACACCGCTGCTCTGCGGCCAGGCCAGCATGAGTCGGGTAGCCAATCCCGGCAGTGCAAGGCGATGTCTTGTTTTGACTAGTTTCGACGTTCTTCGCGATCTCGGATCATCAGACCAGAACTGAACTCCGTCTGCCACATCCAAGAAACGTGAACAAATCGCTTTCATGGTGTTTTTGGGACCCAAAACTTCTCCAAAACAAGCACAGAGCGGGCAAACATATTTGCCGAGATCCAGTATATTAAAACTCGACTGTTTCCTCATTTCTGGTGACTCTTGACTCGTGCTGTCCTGCTTTCTGACTGTCGAGCCCACGCAGTTTTCTCGATTCATTTTTCCCAAAGAACCGGTCACTGGGGAGTCTCAACTTTCCTGTGGATGGTCTTTTTTCTGACAATGCTGGAAGTTCCGAGACCTACAGAAGTGACACGCTGGATGACATGATTTGCCTGTGCTGTGCCTCGCGAGTGCAGTGTCAGCAAAGGGAGAAAGAACAACAGCACATGTTTTGCTGCACTTCAAATCCACTTCTGTATGCGGCTAAGTAAATGTTTGCCTCTGTGATGCACCAATCGACTTGTCTTGGCAGGTGAGTGTTCGACGGATGACCAGGTCAGGCTCGCTTCAGGTGATCTTTCCGACGTTCGGTAGTTGTGTCGCTGAAAGCAACGATTTGCCTTTCATTGGAACCGAGCACTAGCCGCTGCTAGCCCGCAGCGCATTTCGACGCGCAGACATCCTACATGACAGGAGACAACTGAAGCATGTGTGTTTTCTTCTGGTTTTGGCAGCTTGCCCTGATTGGGGTATAATTTGAAGAGTCTCCTTCACATGGCGTGTTTGCAGATGAATGCATCTCCGCACCGGACGCCGTTGCGTGTACCTCGAATGCCCAACTTGGACCAGGCGTGAACGTTGCAGTATGCAGCAATCGTCCACTGTCGTCCGATCGGGCCGAATCCGGCAGGACACGACAGAGCAGCGATGCATTGCAACCCCAGCCAGGCCAGGTTTCAAAAGAGGGCTTGAGGCGGCTTCGGAATTCGGGGCTCCCACGAAGCGCAGGCCTTGCAAAGCCCGCAGATCGCCGCGAGAGCAATCGAGGAGACGGCCGAAATCTGCTGAGTTTTTGTCAGTCTAATTGGTGTCGTTGATCGTTGGCATCGCTTACAGCATCTTGACCTCTGCTTCCAAGTCAGGATTCTCGTCGAGCGTGTGCAGTGGCCTTAGTGGCCTTAGTGAAGTCTTCTACCACAAGAGATGCATCGTGCAGTTGGAAGTGCAACGCCCATCAGAGCCTGCTTCTTGGAACGTGCCAAGAACAACCAAACTGACATCCTGACGGTCCTAACGCTTCATTTCGCTAAGCTCCGAGGAATACATTGCCGTCCTTCCTGGTTTGCAGTTTATGCAGTCTTCTGTCCTTGGCCTCCGATATGACCTTGCCCCTGTGCCTGGCCGTGCTCTCGCCCTTCGACTTCCCCGCTGCAGTGTGCGGACTGGGAAGAGCACGGCCCTGTACAATGACGTGCTTATGGCACAACAGTCCAGATGTTAAGTTTGACGTTTTCGGAGTCGTCCTGCGCTTGCAAAGGTCATGGACAGAACTGGTGGCGTCACAGGCCACGACAAAGCTGTCCCGTTCCATGGAGTCATGTCGCAGTTTCGTTCTGATGTTTGAATTCAATCTTTAATCTTTGCCCGTTGAGGGCACACCCTACAAAACCCCCTCGCCCTCGTGCTATGATTTTCTGAGCTTGTCCCCGCGACTGCGCTGCCTCTGTTTTCTCAATGAGCACCTCTAACGTACCATAGGGAATCTGCGCACGCGTCTTGTTTCACGTCTGGGCAGGAGCTGCGCCCATCACCGAGCTCACCGCGAACGATGGGACCTCAGACTAGCTCACAATCCCAAATGGCACGGATGCATCATCTTAGACGAGCTTGGTTCCCCTGACTCGCCGAGACCTGGCTTTCGCATGCGCCCAACCACTCCACCAAGTCGTGCAGAGTGGCGCCGTGCGCCAGAAGAGTCAGAGCAGCTGTGAAGCACAAAGACGCAGTGCACCATAATGTAGCCTCAGTGTTGGACAGAGTCCTACAGACTAATGTAGGGAGGGAATTTTCTGGGCTTGATCGAAGAGTTGGAGATCTGAAACATGCTTGGTGTCTCCATTTCCTGACCTCCGCTCGCCAGAGTCTTGACGTTCAAGATTGAGAGCATGGCTCATTGGCTCATTTTGCTGATATCCTTGCGCGTTTGTCCAAACTGCCATGCAACATGCAACTCATGAGTCAGTGAGTCGCATTACGTGGGAAATGATGTGCTCCGAGGCCGGACATGAACGAAGGCTGGTGCATGTGTGAGCAGCTGTGACATGCACAGAGACTGCTTGTGCCATCGCAAAACTTAACAAACCACTTGATGGATCCTAAGCATGGAGCATGAAGCCTTGACAGTTGGTCAGGTCGATTGAGGCGCGAATTCTGTGAGATTCAGCAGATTGGCAAAGGCCCCGATGAAAAGAGTCTTTTGTTACAGCCATTGGGCATCACCAAGCAGCTTTCAGAGGATGAGCATTATGTGTTTTTTTTCTTTTAAGTTTCTGTTGCCTGCAACCGAATTGCAGCTGGCAAACAACGTAGCGAGAAACCTTCAGCAAAAGTACTGTCACAGTCTTTTCCTTGCAGTGCCAAAGGTTGAGTTGCTCCTTGTTGCAGATGCAGTTGAAAGGGGATGTGGTATTGGACCGGCTGGTCGGATTGGGGGGGGTGGTTCCATTCTGGCAAAATCATACGTGATCCTTCTCAAGCCTTCGCTCTTGATGCCAGAAGTCCCTTAGAGTGCCATGAGAGACAGGCCATGCGTGGAAAATGCTACGGCGGTTACACCAATTCTTATCTGGGAAAGGTTGACAGGGCCTGGCTTGCCAGTTCAAGAACAAGACTTGCGGTTTGTGTGGCCGCTTTTGAACATTTTGCATGTCGCTTGTCTTTCGACGTGTTTGCATCACAGCTTAACAACCAATGGCTCTGGACCAGGACGCTCTGTGATTTGTTCGACTGTTTTGGTATGGTGTCGCTGCATTCTGGCAGGTCAATTCTCCACTGTCTACAAGGCTTGCAGTTCTTACAAGTCGTGTGGCACCACCTGCTCAAGCAATGTTTAACAGCCTTGATCTCCAGTGCCCTCAACATCATTGATATTCGCGACTGGTGTGCAATGTCCCCTCGACATGAATACTGTAAGGAAGTCCTACGGTGGAACCCCACAATTTTTCAAGCCCCACCGAGCTTCCGGGGAACGGGACCTCATTGCTTGAATATGCTTGACTGCTTGACCCTGACATCAGATTGCGGCCCCAGTCGAACATCCGGGTGTGGCAGGTTGTTGAGCTTGGGGGAAGGTTCGGAAAGTGAGATTACATGATTACATCCTGATCTGCTCCTGACGCTTGTCGGGTGGAGAGGCCGAAGCGAATGATGTTGCATTAACATCTTTACTACGGAGTTTAAGAGTGACAGGTGATTTTTCACCTTCAGAACACGACAATGTGTTTCAGTTCTTCTCCGACATAGCCCCTCCGCATCGCACAGTGTCAACCTGCCAAAGCAAGCCTGCAGCACCCCGTCGACATTCTGAAGTTCGTGTCCTCGTCACATGAGTCCAGCTACAAGCTGCTACGGGTAATTGGCGCACTGATTCTAGCTCTTTGCTCATCCACTCAGCTGCTGTTCCCAGGCTCAGAATCGTGTGGACAGGTGCAATTACGCAGCCGGCTTGCCCAGTACGATTTTGACGCAGATCTTGCAATGCCAGCAGCTCCAAGTTGTTTGGCGCCTGCTGGTGGAGAACGAATCAAGCCCTGAAGCTACCCATACCCATTGCATGACATTGCTGCCTCTTTCTGTCGCAGCATTTGCTCAGTGCAGTAATCAGGAGCCGTTGTGTTTATCAAAAGCGGCATTAAACAGTAAGCAGTGTTGATACGCTGGGTCAACTTTCGCGGTATCTCTGCCTAGCTTCAGAGCTTGCCTCTAGCCATACCCAGACGACATGTCATTGTCCAGACAACCAGATGACTTGATAAAGAGAAAGCTAATCCGCATCTCTCAGGGCCGTGCCATGCCACCCGCGGATGCCATGGCATCGCATGATCTGGAGGCCACGGTTCACGCATGGACTTTTGAGGAGTGTGGTGAGTTTCATGGCATTCTCGCACCAACAAGCATGTCCCTCCCACTGTGATTTGCTTCTGCGGGCTGCACGCTTCTTGCAGGCATGCACTGCTGTGGTCCCTATGGATCGGCTGTGCAGCGCAGCACGCAGCGCAGCACGCAGCGCACCACGTGGTGCAGCGCGGCAATTCCTCGTTGAGGCCTGTCACATGTTGCGGTTCGGTATCGTGACCCTGGAGCGCTGGTTGTCTTGCGACATATACAAACTTGCATCAGGCCCGAACAGCTGGCTTTCGTCGAGGCGGGTTGCCACGGTGGCATACGGTGGTCATAATCATGAATGATGTCTTCTATCTTTGGCATGAGAACTTTGATGAAATCTGGAAAGAGAATCGCAAACGAGATTGGCGCATTTGACCTTGATTTCATGTAGGACCATTGGCATTTCGGCGCGGCGCAGGCTGCACAGGCTGCTATGGGACACCGAAAGGTTTTTTTAAATATTGACACATCTTTTCAAGTGCACTGACCAGGTCTTCTACGAGTTGCCACAGCTGATAGGCGCAGTCAACTTGTCATGATTGACATCTCGCAATCCCGGAGCGTTCAGTGGGGGCTGGAGTATACAAGTCTTTCAACCGGGAGCAGACAGCTAGAGTTTCAATGGTCGCTGCTTTGCACTTTGCAGGCCCACGCTTTTACCGTGATGGCCGTCAGCTGCAGAGCATGGAGCTCGCCCTGCAAGAGAATTGGGATTTCCCCGTTGGTACTAGACGCTTGCCTCTGTGCGCTCATGCCATTTTTTTCTGCTTTTTAGTTCAGAGGTTCTTGGAGTGCCTACCCGAAAAATCGTACACCCCGACCCCTGACAATCCCGCACAGAATCCTGCAAAGGTTCCTGCAGGGATGCTCTTCAGACACTCTTCAGATACTCTTGCATAGAATCCTGCTCAGTATTCTTGGGGTGCCACACCAAGATATCTCTAATCCCATTCGGCAGAGTATCCCTCGAGTGCCAATTTAGAGATCCAGGCATCGTGCTTATTGTTTTTGTTTGGGATGTTTGAAGGAAGTCAGACGCACTTCCCCGCTGTGCAGCGAAGGTCTTGGTTTTCAAAGCATACTTTTCCCAGACGCCTTTGGAAGCGGCGCCTTATCTTCTGCAACTTGGCACGGGAAGGTCCTTCGTTTTCGTTGATGCATGGATGGATGTCGTGATGGATGGCGTGATGCACAGCGTGATGCATGTCGTGGTACCTGGTAGTTGTATGTTTAAAGGGGTCTGCGGGACCCACCCCGCCTCGTCAAAATCGCGCTGGCGCGTGGAGCCTGCGCGAAATTTTTGGCCCGAATGACAGTCCTCTCCATGCTCGCGGGGCGTCGCGACGTTGGGCGTGGAGCTTCCTCGACACTTTTTGTGCGAACGACAATCCTCTCGGTGCTTGCAGGGCGTCGCGACGTTGGCGCGTGGAGCTTCCTGGACATTTTTGGTGCGCATGGAGCGTCCTCGAAGTTTTTGGGCACGAACGACCCTCTCATGGGACGCGGCGTGTCGCGAAAAATCATGCGGGCACGTGGGGTGTCCTCGAACGACAACCCTCTCGGTGGACGCGGTGTGTCGTGACGCGGTTATGACCTCGTGAGACTTGTAAGTTTCAGCAAGACGAACATTTGGAAGACGATACGACGACACGGTTCATCTGAGACATTATCCATTCCGTCATCGAAGTAAGGCGTGCCCACGACGAGGCGGGGCCGTTACACTTACTAGACGTGGACTTTCGCCAACGTGCAGAAGGTGTTTTTCCACGCCATTGTCCCACCTCCCGGACGTGCGTCCGGACATGCCGCGAGCACCGGTTGTCGTTTGCTCCCAGATCATCATCCCAGCCATCATCCCAGGCATACCCTTCAAGGTTTTTTCAAAACTTTTCAGCTTGGTGCCCGTACACCTAAGCTTCTTGAAGCCCCGAAACTCTTGAGGCCCCTAAAAACTCCGTTACAGTACATCAACTTCGTGAGAAAAGCATCTAGGCTTCTTTGGGCCCCTAAACTCCCTTAAGGTCTCTAAGCTTCTTGATGCCCTTAACTCCTTCAAAGCTTGAAAGACTCTTGCTGCCCCTAGCCCCCTTATTTTAACGTCTTAATGTCTCTAAGCTCCTTGAAGCCCCTAAATTCCCTTAAAGTTTGAAAGCTTCTTGCGGCCCCTAAGCCCTAAGCCCCCTTAAAGTCTTTAAGCTTCTCCACAGAGAAGGTCGTCGCTTGAGCCCAGAATTTCGAGAACGCCCCACGCACCAGCGCCACGACACGCCGTGTCATTCGGGAGGGTTGTCGTTTGCGGACAAAATTTCGAAGACGCTCCACGCGCCAGCGTCACGACATGCTGCGTCCACCTAGTAGGTTGTCGTTTGCGAGCAAAATCTCAAGCGTCAAGACATGCCGCGACCACCGAGAATGCGCGTCGCTCGCCCCCAAAACTTCGAGCACGCTCGACGCGCCAGCGCCCGCGACATGCTGCGTCCACCGAGAAGGTTGTCGTTCATGCCAGTTTCGAGGACGCCCCACGCGCCCACGCCTCTCAAAAACGTTTGCTTCCGTTCTCTAGTCTGTTCATTATGCCCCCCAACTGCCACTTCTGCATACTTCTGCAGTCTGCTGTGATATGAGACTTGCATGCAACTTGCAAGAAGCGAGTCAACTCACGCGAGGTCGGCATATCGGTTCTGGCTGGCTACAAGTACAGCTCTGTGCACGTGGAGGTTCCCTCCGATTATGAGTTTGGCATCGATCACCAGGAGCTCAGTCACATGTCACTATGCCTTGCTCTTGGAAAGTCATCGCTAACCTGCGTTATCTTGCGTTCGAGCGATTGCGCGTTGCTCCTGCAGGAAGCGATTGTGAAATTAGTTTATTCTGACGCTACCCGCGAGTCTTGCGCAAGAGCAGACTACAACGTTCCCATGGCTCTGACCCAAAACAGCTCCGTAGCATCCACCCTCGGGCGGCCACCTCAGTTGTTTGGCCTCCAATGGTGTTGGCATATTTGGCATGTGTTGGCATGTGTTGGCATGTGTTGGCCCATGTTGAACATGTTGACCAGTTGTTGACCCGTCCCCGATCGCATCCGGACAACGTCATGAGGTTCGCATCCTGTGAGCAATCTCACGCTTGTTGCAAACGTTCCGCCAACGTTCCGCCAACGTTTGGAATGTTGGGCTCTGCAAGCAAACCAGCATCACAAGACAAAAGAGCATCACCCAGACCATGTTACTGTTGAACTACGTTGAACTGTTGGGCTCTGCGGGCCGAGGCCATCGCCTCTGGCTTCAGGGTCTGTGCTGAGTGTGCCAACTGCGGGCTCCAACGTGCCTTGGTGCCAGCTGCTCTTCCAATGTAGGTAAGTGTCTGTCAGATTGGTCCCGAAAACGTTTAGGTCAGTCTATGTCAGTCTACTAGGAGCCCGCCGAGATTTGCTGAGGCGTTGCTTCGGGAGGTTCAGTGGCCGCACCTGACATTTATGCACGGTGGCTCATACGAGTTGTGCTATTCTCCGGACGGCTCGTTCGAAGGCGATGAATGGAAAAACAACATTGTGCCAGTTCAAGTCATAGTGGTCGGTGTGTCCTCCGAATGCCTCTCAGATGGCTGCTTGGCCAGGGAGCGCTGGGATTGCTACCTTTTTTACGGAGGTGAGGACATCAGCTCCTGCCGCATTGACTTTCGGCTGTTTGGCGGAGGCCGGGAGGGCTGGTCCGTTCAGCTAGGCGGCGCGAGCCGCATCAGTTGGTCCGAGAGCTGGGGCGACGACACCTATGTTGCTGGCGAGTTCGTCCCAGCGACCCGCGTGGAGTGCTCCAACGTGATCACGGGGCAAAGCATCCAACCGGAGACCCAGCTCTTCCAGTCCTTCTCCTGGGCACCCCCTTCGGGCTCCGGGCTCAACGCAGACGCGTCGACGGCAGCCACGCTGCCGGGCCTGAAGCCGGAGTTTGCCACCAAGAGCTTCACCCTCACTGCATGTTACTGTCCCAACTACGATGGCCCTGACCCCACAACGGATGCCTGTGACGATGCAGGTGAGTTTATCCAGCCAATCGGTGTAGTCTATTACTGGATGATTCGTATTTGCGATATTGACACATACGCGTCGTGTGGCTCATCAAGCAATCCACCCTTCATGCGAGTTCTTCCCCAGCAGCCTTTTGTATTGAGAGTCGAGTGCCCTCCTGGGGGCACGTCCTGCTCGCCTACCAACAATAATCGCCTCAAACTCCTACCTGGAATTCCACCTGCAGGTGCGCAGGTGTGCCGAGCTTGTATGATGTGTATGCTACGAAAACATGTCTTGGAGCATTCTTCTTGAGCTGACCGAATGCGCAGGTCCGGATGGCATCGTACGGATCGAGGTGCCGGAGAGGGCCATCTGGGAGCCACAGTCGCGGTGCAAAATCGAGACCAGCATGAAACCTGGCCCGTTTGGTGCGGTGATGGTAGGTGCACAGTCGCGTACCTCAAGCCTTGGGGTGACCCGAATCCTGTCAACCTTTGAGTATTAGCTGCCAGCTAGATCATGATGGGAGCCTGGATCTTGTTGCCATCTGCATACAATACAGACGTACATAAAACCAAAGCCCTGTCAAATTGTCATGAATCATGAATCCAGCTGCATGTTGTGATTTTTCTCGCTGGCATGCTGCAGTGCTGCAGGCTTGCTTCCGCACATCAATGTATTTCATGCTTGCATTATGCCCACTCACCTCGGTCAGCGACAGCTGAGGACGGGTGATATTGGTTGGTTCCCGCCCTTGGAGTTCGATGATTTCGGCCTTCTCATAGGCGGTGATGCGTACCTTCGGGGTGGCAGCTTGGACTCTACCTTTTGCGTGTGCTCATGCTTGGGGCTTACCATATCGTGAATCGGCTTTGTAAGGACTCTGGCGACTAAATAGCTTAGAACATATGTGCAATGCAGATATGCAGGAACTTGTACTGGCTGGCGCTGTAGTCACAATATGTGCAGGTGACCGTCGTGACTACAAATTCTGGGCAAATCCAGCAATGATGGGACTCATGCCGATGGCGAGCAAGGTGGAAGTCTGCTACTGTGATGAAAACTGCGGGAACTCCTTCAACTATTTCAAGGCCTGTGACCCTCTCGGGGTGCATGAGTACTCACGTGGCAGCAGAGGAAGGAAGGAGGGAAGGAAGGAGGGAAGGAAGGAAGGAGGGAAGGAGGGAAGGAGGGAAGGAGTTGAAGGAAGGAAGGAATTGAAGGAAGGAAGGAAGGAAGGAGTTGAAGGAAGGAAGGAAGGAAGGAAGGAAGGAAGGAGTTGAAGGAAGGAAGGAATTGAAGGAAGGAAGGAAGGAGTTGAAGAAGGAAGGAAGTAGAGGATGTTGCGGACTGCAGAGGGCCATAGAGGCCCCACAATGCAGGCCCGTGAGGGCTAGAGCCTAGGGGATTGCTATCACAGGTGGAGAGGGCTGAGAGTTTAGGAATGTTTAAAGCGACTTTAGGACCTTTCAAGATCCTACGTCACGGCTCCTGCGCTGAAGTCGGCTTGAAGTGGAGCAACTGTGCGAAGCAAACGAATACTCAACGGTCATCAGCTGTCAGGTGGGCGAAATACGGGCGGCGGAGTCAGCAGGGATTGCACGCTGGACTAAGCCGCCGAACCAGGGAGGTGCCAGATGAGACGCGTGCAGTTAAAGATGGTGAAATCTGAAAGCAGCTGTTCCATGGAAAGCTTCTGTCTTTGTCGCCAAGTTACCTTGCGAGGCCTTATCCAGGAGATCGAGTCACTTCAATATGTGACCTGTTCTGCAACCGCTTCTGTGTTACCTTCAGTCGCACTTCAAAGTCTGAGGTGAAACGTCCCCTACTTTAATGTAGAGGGCTGGGGACGGGGGTTGGCGTCTGGCATGTTTTCGAATGTTTGGTTCTTCGAGCTTCAAAAGAGAAGGTGATTACTAGCTCCTCATCATGGTATTAATATCATCATTGACCTCGTGTGCGAATATGGGCTCATGAATCCTTCGAACGGGGGGTGTAAACGGTATAAACCTTACTCTGTGAACTTTAAGACACAGGAATTCTCTTATTCCAACCACGGTTTGCCTGACACATTAAGATTGGAAAGTGAGGAAGTTGTTGTAATGGGGTTTCGCGATGCTCTAAGACTCCAAGGTGACCAAGCAAGGGGCCTTGACGCTATACGGAGGCATCCAGTCCGACTTTGCAGATGGAATGCACCCGTACGACAGCATACCTTGGCGAAAGAAGACGACGCTGAAACTCGTTCCCTTTGACAACTGGGCAGCCTACACGGACGCGAGCGGGGGCCAGGCAGCGTGTAGCAGTGTAGAACTTTCCAGAGGCTCTTGCTTGCGCGGGGTCGGTTTCGCTGTTGCCGGCAGGTAACACTTGAGCGGTCCCTCAATCTTGACCGCGTTGACACAGAGGATTCCCCAAGGGGGAGCATGGGAACCAAGGGAGCCCGTGCAGTTCAGAGATCCACGAGGTTCTTTCCTTTCAGCGACTGAACAGACGTAACACTGGACTGTCATCCACCTTAGCTCACATTCGCATCTGGACTCAGGGGTTTGGGTTTCAGGATTCTTGATATGTGTATTTCACAAGGCCTCTTAATTTCCCAAGATTGGGCAGATGAAGAGGTTTATGTATGAAAACCGTCAGCTTGGAAAGCATTCAAACGAGTGAAAGGTTACTGGGGGCTTTTGCGGGAGAATGTCCGTCGCGAGTTTCCAGGTTCACGATATCAACATGAGTTCTTTGCACATTATGTAAAATAGCTAAAGCAACTTCATTTCCAGTTGTCCTATCTTTTCCTTCGCTACTACTCATAGCTTTCCAGAAGGCTTATAAACAGAAGCTAGAACAACACAACTTGTCCCTCATAGTTTTCTCCTTTCTTTCTGCCTGCTGCCTTCAACATTCAATCCTTAATGGCTCAAACAAACAGCCTTAATATTTAACTTTTAACGAGGGAGCAAGGACAGCATCGATTGAAAGAAGAGAACGAGCGTGGGCTCTCTTCGTTGACGATTTTGACAAGGCTTGAATACAATGAACGAACTCGCCAGTCTGAAGAAGATACCGGGGTCATGTGAGCACATGTGTGAACACGGCGAATTCCTTGGCCTAGAGCTTTCGATCAACAGGAACCCTTCATATCGGCTTGGAAGATCTTGAACTTGGGGTTTCACATGAGGGGAGGTGCTTGAGGCTAGATGAGACTCTGGGGCCAGGGGCCTGTAGTGTGGAGGGCATGTACCTGGTTGGAGTCTGCCTTGAGAGTTTCATGATGTTTCATGTTCTCTTTTGGTTTGCGGGTTCACGAGTGAGGAGAGCCGCCAAGCTTTGAACGATGCTTGCGTCAACGGCACCTTCAATGCCGAGTACTACAATGGGCCCAGTACCATGCTCAAGTCAGAGTGTACACTGTTGGACTCACATGCAGTGGCTTTAGTTCTACCCGATTTTATCCTGCACTGCACTGCACTGCACTGCACTGCTGTTTCTGTGCATGTTATGGAGTGAGTGTGACTCCCAGGTTCAGCTGATCTGGCGAGGGAGTTTCTCGCCTGGGTTGAACCTGGCCCCTCGAACTACTTGCCCTTCAGTGGTGTCGAGAATGACCAGAGCTTCAACGCATGGAAATCTGGCATTTTTCTTGTGTGCTACTGTGCGATGCTTGATGCCGAAGACTTGTGTCAGAGCCCCGTCTACTATATCAACGCAGCGCGTCTGATGTTTCGGGGTCCTATGACCGATATACAGCTTGACCTGCCTTCCAATTTCGTGGTGCGTATCGATCTAGAAGGCTGGGGCTTCTCAGATACAGACTCCATCCGTCTTATCAGCATGACACAAACCTGCAGAGAGAATGCAAACGACCCTCGCGGGGTTGATGTCTACCGGCTCGGATGCCCTGGATTTAACAGCTCAAGCTGCCGCAAGCCCGATGTGAAAGAAGACATTCCTGTTCATGTGATTTCAGCTGATCGCACGGGGGTTTACATCACGGACATCTCCATAGGAGATTCTCAGTCCATACTGACCTTCAGTGGCGACATCACTGCCGAACTGTTAGATGGTGATGCAATCACCATAGATGAGTCGTCCATCATTTTGAATAACAAGAACCATACCACCTGGACCATTGCTGAACAGCACGTGGTGTCAAAGCTGTCTGGCTTCTACGGCTATGCTGATGAGCCCAGTGTCAAACGGATGCTTTGGAATCGGGTGTCCTACGTTTCAGGAGAGACCAACAAGCTTCTTATCCGAGCAAGCATGTGTTGGTTGATACTCAACGCTTTGAGTCCAGGGTCTCTTGGGTCCATTGGGTCGTTGGTTACTTGCAGGATCGGAGATGGCTTGGAGCTTCGCTTCTGTCACGAGCTACTTATGCTTATCTGCTATCTAAAGGCTTCACTGAGTACGCAAGGATCCAAGCAGGACTGACCAGTCTATATTATTATGATTATCATTATTATTATTGAAGTACAAGATCGACAAGCATGGTACTGTACCTTTTGCATGTGACAAGAAGCTCAGAGCATTGAAGACACGGAAGGTTCCCAAATTGTTTGAACATGGCCTTTGCTGCTGCTGAGGTTGAGTATACCTGTGGGTTGGGTCAGCAACACGGAAGATGGCAGTGATATCCCGCAGTTCAGATTCGTTCAAAACAAGGGCCGTTGGGCTCGTCGCAATCGGCTCCAGACGAAGGACGGACTTGCTCCACAAGGTTTTTTGTCAGGTCAGGAGGACCGTTGGCATTTGCAGGATTTTCGAAAGTGCACACGTGATTGCAATCATAGTTATTGATGGAGCTCCTGCCGCGCACGACTGATAGTCAGCAAGGCACTCCTGTCCTGCAGGAAGAGATCAAAGTTGACTTCGCAGCAATGGTGAAGATATGTTGGGGAGCGTTTGATGAGGGTCGCCAACAATACTACGGAGAAGCGGGAGTCCTGCAGTTTTCCAGTCCCACCTTCATGGCAGATGCAGGAGTGTATCTGACAACAAGATTGCAAGGAGGAGTAGGTCAGGCGGTCTTGTCATTTTCCCCTTCAACTGGAACAACTTTTTACAAAGCTTTCCACACCCCTTTGGTTGTCGCTTGGTCGGATGGATTTTGCGTGGCAATGTCATGGCATCATTGCCTGTGAATGATGTTCATTCAATCTGCAAGCAAAACCAAGGTCAGGCTTCTTTTCAAAGAGGTGGACTTCATGCTGGAGCCCCTCCTTGCGGGAGCGATTGAAAAGCCGGAAGAGCTTGAGGCCATGCCGGAAGACTTTCAAGTGGCTATGGAGAGACTTGCCTCTATCAAATCAGGGCCCAGATTCTGCAGCTCGCTCTCTGGCCTCAATGTTTTGTCGAGCGACAATGCTCGACAATGCTGTTTCATGACAAACCTTCAAGCAGCCTTAACGTTGTCATTTCAAGGGCCCAGACTAAACCAGAGAACTTGGCAACTAGTCGATGAATCTGACCATAATGTCCATTATACTCTTCTGCAAGCGAAGATTTGAAGATCCTGCCGCTCTAAGTCCAGGCTTGGAGCAGAGGTATATAGTTTGTGAAGCCCATGTCGCGATGCTTCACGCTGCTTTACAATGCTTCACAATGCTTCAATGCTTTTGCTACAGACGGTCGAAAGGAATGCAACGCAAGCGATTTGTGGGCAGCTTTTCACGGAGATGTGGACCAACGATGACTCAGGCAGCTTAGAGAGTTTAAGTGCAGGCAGCAAGGGTGGCAGAACAGTGGAAGCAGTTTGCAAGGTCGCAGTCTGTGGCAAGTGCAGAGTTTAGAACGGGGCTGGGGCGGGGGGAGGGGGTGAGATCATGTAAGAAGTCGTGCAGGTTGTGCAGTTGTGTTTCCTGGATCAACTGCATGTGCACGTCCGCCGAGGCTTTCCTCTTCCGCGTGGATGCTACTATGGACCGCTCTACACAGATGTGGTTGCTGACAATGAGCCAGCACGCCCGTCCTACAGGGAATACTTCATCATATTTGAACCAAAGGCTTCGGGCCACTCTTGAAGTCAATTCGCGTAGGCGTGCTGCGATTTGCGCTCAGTTTGTTTTTGAGTTTGGGAGGCCGGTCTCAAGGACGTCTGTACCCTCAATGACCAGTTCGGGTCGAGGACGGCACCCTGTGTCTACCAGTGGCTTGGCTCGATAGTCCGATAGAATCGTGCTGGTTAGCTTGGAATTTCTTATGGCAAGGCCACAGGGGAGCACTTCTAGGCAGAGCTGTCTATCAATGAAGACTGGTGCTGTGAATTTCATGTCGCACTTTCAAAAGTCAGCACACCAGTGGCGAGTCATCGAGTTAGTCATGCCTTCCGAGTACTTCGGAAGTAACTTTTGCACCACCGTAGCCATGAGTTGGCATGAAATACAGACACGGAGAGTGTTGGAAACAGATACGTGTGTGTATATACAGATAGAGCAGCTGGACGTGCGTACACATCTTACATGGAGAGATGTGCTTCCTCCAGGCCTAGGTATGTGCGGGCGATGCATGTGACATGATGGGACGTGCTTGGGTCCCAAGGCTGGCATTCAATGCACGTGCGGGTGAAATTGGCATGGTAAACCCCCGGGAAGTTATTGGCATCTACACGCAGTGCGCTGGCAAATCTGGATCAGCAACGGCCCCTTGGCTTCGTGAATACTCTCTTTCAATCGACGACCAGCCGAAATTGGCAATAAACGCCGCATATGCACGTGTTTGCACATCTGACTTGACAAATCTTGACAAGCCATTCTCGAATTGAGTTCAGGTATGTGGCCCGCGCTACAGCGTACTAGAGTACGGCCCAGCTTACGCGACTGCTTCAACAATGCTGCCAGAGGTTGGAAGTTGCTTGAACCTCTTTTTCCCCTTCTTACATCTCTTTGATTCAGTGCGGGTCGATTCGCCACCAGCTCGAAGTGAGTGCCCGACTTGGTGCAGGAAAATCATACTCAGCTGGATCGTGTTGAAATGCTTCCTTGGCCTCAAGCTCGCGCCTTGCTGGCATGTTATACGCTTTGATGTGGCGGTCGTGCAAGGTCGCAGGTGTGCGGCAGAAGGCACGCCAGAAATACGCCACACTTGACCTTTCGATTTCCCAGTGTTTCCATTGTGCCACAAGGCTTGTTGAGCTCGCTGGGTCTTCGGGCACTGAGCAAGGAGGCCGCCGAGGAGGCTGGATGGCATTGCGCGTGGAGCTCCATGGCAACGTGCGCGTTTCGTTTCAAGTTTCGCAAGTGTGTCGCAAGTGTTTCGCAAGTGTTTCGCATGTTCTGCTTCTCCTTGAGCTTCCGAGAGGTGCTGGAGCTTCAGCCCACGCTGACCAACGAGGATGGTGGTGTTGTTGAGGACCCCTTCAGACTCGTGCTGAGCGAAATGTAAGTAGATATGTTTATCAACATGCAAGGGCCCAGGCACTACCAGAGGGCGCACATCAGCAACAACAGCGGTTGCGAAGCAATGAACATTGCAGGTACGTAGGGAAAGTGCCCCCTCTTCCTATATCCGAGTGAGCTGCCGCGAGCTTCGTTGTGCGCATTTGTGCGCTGCAAAGCAGTCCCTTGGTGCAGCCCTGCATCAGAGGAAAGCCCCTAACATGAGGACTTTGTAGATCTTTACAAACAAGTGCGATGCACAGCTTCCGCAACAGATCACAAGGGGTATATCTTTGTTGGCGCAAAAACTACAGCGCACTGAGCTGTGTCTGTACCCTTGGTAGTAGGGTCCCCCCCCCCCCCCCAAACACACACACGCGCACACACGCGCACACCGCGCACACACGCGCACGCACGCGCACGCACGCGCACACACGCGCACACACGCGCACACACGCACACGCGCACACGCGCGCACGCGCACGCACGCACGCACGCACGCACGCACGCACACACACACACACAGACACACAGACACACACACAGACAGACACACAGACAGAGACACACACAGACACAGACACAGACACAGACACAGACACAGACACAGACACAGACACACACACAGACACACACACAGACACACACACAGACACACACAGACACACACAGACACACACACACACAGACAGACACACACACACACACACACAGAGACACACACACACACACACACCACAGACACACACACACACACACACACACACAACACACACACACACAACACACACACACACACACACACACACACGGACCACACGGACCCACACGGACCCACACGGACCCACGGACCCACACGGACCCACACGGACGGACGGACCCCACGGACACGGACCCACACGGACACACACACGGACCCACACACACGGACCCCACACGGACCCACACGGACCCACACGGACCCACACGGACCCACAGGACCCACACGGACCCACACGGACCACACGGACCCACACACACCACACGGACCCACACGGACCCACACGGACCCACACGGACCCACACGGACCCACACGGACCCACACGGACCCACACGGACCCACACGGACCCACACGGACCCACACGGACCCACACGGACCCACACGGACCCACACGGACCCACACGGACCCACACGGACCCGCACGGACCCACACGGACCCACACGGACACACACGGACCCACACGGACACAACACACACACGGACACAACACACACACGGACACAACACACACGGACACAACACACACGGACACAACACACACGGGGACAACACACACGGGGACACCACACACGGGGACACACACACACGGGGACACACACACACACACACACACACACGGGGACACACATACACGGGGACACACACACACACACACAAGGGACACATACGGGGAACCAGGGGACACACACGGGGACCACACACGGTGACACACCCGGGACACACACGGGGACACACACGGGCAACACACGGGGACCACACGGGGACACACACGGGGCCAAACACCCGGGGACACCACACCGGGGACACTACAACCACGCGCACACACACACACACACAACACACACACACACGGGGACACACACGGGGGACACACCAACACCCCACCCGGGGCACCAACACCAACCACACAACCCACACACACACACACCACACGGGGGACACACACACACACACACACCCACACACACCACGGGGGACACACACACACACACACACACACGGGGACACAAACACACACACACACACCACACACCACACACACACACACAACACGGACACACACACACACACACACACACACCACACACACACACACACGGGGACACCCACAACACCACCCCCCCCCCCCCCCCCCCCCCCCCCCCCCCCCCCCCCCCCCCCCCCCCCCCCCCCCCCCCCCTCCCACACACGGGACACACACACAACACAACACAACACACACACACACACACACAACACACGGGGGACAACACACACACACACAACACACACCGGGGACAAACACACACACAACACACACACACGAAAACACAACACACACGGGACACACACACACACGGGGGGACACACACACACGGCCACACACACACCACACACACACACACGGACACAACACACCCACCACACACACACCAACACACACACACACACACCAGGACACACACACAACCACACACACAAAAGAAAAAACCCCACCCAAACCCCAAAAACACACGGACACACACACACACACACACACACCGGACAACACACACGGGCCAACACACACACCCACACACACGGACACCACACACACACACCACACACACGGAAACCACACACACACACACACAACACACGGACCCCACACACACACACACACACACACGGGACCACACGGACACACGGACACACACACGGACACACACACACACGGACACACGGACACACACGGACACACACGGACACACACACACACACACGGACACACACACACACACACACACACACGGACTCTGTGTGTGTGTGGCTCTGTGTGTGAGTGTGTGTGTCTGTGTGTGTGTGTGTGTGTGTGTGTGTGTGTGTGTGTGTGTGTGTGTGTGTGTGTGTGTGTGTGTGTGTGTGTGTGTGGTGTGTTGTTTGTTGTGTGTGGTGTGTGTGTGCTGTGTGTGCTGTGTGTGCTGTGTGTGCTGTGTGTGCTGTGTGTGCTGTGTGTGCTGTGT